GCTTTATTTCCATATTGTGTTTGTTTCCGTTTGCCGTGCGGGGAAAAAACGCAGTATGAACTTTCAGACGTTGCAAAATTTCCTATGATACACGGGAAAAATGAAATTGCTGATTTAACAACTCTGTAGTTAAAAAAAGTGTCCGACATGTTTCAATGTAGATTATACAATGGAAAAATGTTACTTTAACCACCCCCTTGATTAAATTAGCTTTCCTTTACTGGAAAATGTACATTTGAAACATGTTGGACATGTTTCTTAAAAGTTTAATTCTTAAATCAGCAATCCATTTTTTTCCGTGTATAGTGGGAGTATTATGAAAAACTTGCGGATATTTTTCTTCCAATTTTACGGCGAATTTTATCGCAATTTGATCTAAAAACTTGAACTTGAATTCTATCTAAACATTTCTGGGAAAAAGTAATCATAACTATGTTCAAATATACACATTTTATAGGCGGAGACCTGGCAACATTGGAATGCTCATACGGCGCTTTTCTTTAAGCATGGCATTATACTGCGGTGTTGACAGAAAACGTCATTTGAGCCTTCAGAGGTTACCTTTCTTGATATAAAAGGCGTATTTTCAAAGAAACTTGTGAATGCTTTTCCTCCAATTTTTCAGCAAATTTGGTTCGTGGTTTGACCTAAATTTTGTGAGAATTCCAAGAGAAAATATTCTTAACTTTCTCAAAAAAGCGTGCAATTAATCTGAAGAAATTTGACAATGTCCAAATATTCATATAACTTTTTTCTCTCGCGCAGCAGCAAGAAGCATCAGACACGGTCGTGTTGATCAAAGCGAAGAAATTGACGCGCGGGCGAGATGACATTTTCTAATAAACGGATTTATTTGCGCAAAAAACGGGCTGATCGTAAAAGCGGATATCCGAGCTGATCCGCAGCCGAACGAGATCACCCAAATTCCTCCTCAATGACATGATGGGACGGGCCAAGTCCTCAACGACCTACTCACGGTTTCATTGTCGATGGTTCCGTTCACTGCCGAAATCTTCGATGCTGGATGCAGGGCTTTCGAGGATAATCTGGGCCATTTGATCAAAATATTGCGAGCACTTCGACAAATCGATTGCTATAATAAAAAAAAATGATTATCTATTTCCTGTTAAAACCGATCATGTTAATACCACGTTGAGATCATTTTGTTACCTCGTTTTTGCAAGGGATGCATTGTTTTCTGTCTCTCCTAACAATTTTTTTCCCCACTTCAAGTATCCCACGAGGGATAATCCTGCGCTTTACCATCCCTAGAGCCCCATATTCCCTCCGTCCCTAATCAAGCCAGCCCCAGGTAACCGTTGATTGAGACCATCCAACTCGGGTCACCTGCCGGGAATCGAACTCGGAATCTCCCGATCATAGAGCAAGCGTTACAACCACCACACCACGGCCCTGGTAAAAATTGGCGATACGAGCTGCGTTTCAAAATACCATAGAAGTTTTTATAGCCGACTAAAGAGGGCTATTGAAAATCATATAGCTGGCTGTAGAAAGCGGAGCAAATCATATAGCCGGGCTATAAGAAGCTATAAAAAAGTATACAATCGGGCTATAGTTCCTATCGCCGGGCTTTACACTTTATCGCCATTGGCTATAAAAGGCTATAAGAAATTGTGTAGAAATTCGTGTGCTTTGGAAATCATTAAGTATGATACGAAACTACCTTAATATTTACAAAACACACATTATATTTTCCTTTAAAATATATATTTTTTTTTTTCATCAATTAAAATGAGATGGTCCATATAGAGTGTGCAAACATTTCAAAATCATGAGTTGAAAAACGCTGACTCCGCGAGATTAAATATTAGAGCCTAACACAAAACGGAGCGGCGACACATTAGCGCCTACAAACCTAACAGGGATACTTCACGCATTGTGCGGCGACGCACTGGCGCCTACAAACCTAACAGGGATACTTCACGCATTGCGAAACGCGTGAAGTATCCCTGTTAGGTTTGTAGGCGCCAATGCCCGTTCCGCCCGCCCGCCGCGCCGCAGCGTGCCACGGCGTCTGAAGCAAATATTTCACACCAGAGGTATTGCACAGTATCATAAGAAATTGAAGGCGCTCCAACATATTAAGAACGACAGGCATCCTTCAAAAGTACGGAGCTTTCCTCGCAAAATAAATCAAGATACTACGGCACAAAAAGAGAGCGGTAGTCCAAAAACCAACTAAGTCCTAGTATCCGTATTTAGTAACGTTTAGCATAAACTTTATCGTCAGGCTGTTGCTTAATCGCCATCGGCTATAAAAGGCTATAAAAAATTGTACAGCCGGCTACAGAAGCTATTGGAAATCTTACAGCCGGCTGTAGGTCTATAGTATTTTGGAACACACATTCTACTGCCAATTTTTACCAGCGGGAGGCCGACAAATACCCAGACTATTCTGGCCCTTTTTCTAGATGTTCATTCATGATAAAAGTTAAATGCAGTGGCGTGGCGTGCTTTGCGATGTATCGATCGACGTGTCATTTAAACCTACGGAAAAAGATCGATTAACAGGGTGTTCGCAACGAACTCCTTAATAATCGATTCTTTACCATAGCTTCAAATGGGAAAATATCGATAATCGATCAGTCACGCTTCACCACTGGTTAAATGTCAAAGCTTTAATTTTTGCAGGAACTTGGGTGAGGGAAAAATGATACGCGTCCATTGTATAAACATATTATAATTATAATATAATGACAATGACCATTCACCATTGACCAACGTGAGCAAAGTGCACATTTTTGCGGCCAACACATTGAAAGAACATCTTGATGAAGATAAGCGGGCATGCGCGATGAATAAAATGCGCCTTCAAATGTTCATATAGGCAGAACAACAGCATGGCATGGCCCCGATGCTAACAACCAAGCTGCCTAAGCTATACTGGCGTGCTAAGGAAAAACACCGTATAAACCTTCAGGCGTTGCCAAATTTCCTGTGATAAAACGCAAATTTCCTGGTAAACTTATGAATATTTTCCTTCCGATTTTTCAGATAATTTTGCTCGCAATGGGCCTGTTGCAAACTTTTGCTAGAGCAAAACTAAGAGTTGTTTCCTACAGATAATGCCTCAAAAATCACGATGAGCGCATCGGCAAAGTCTGAAATGCACTCATAACTTCACAATCTGCGTAAGAAATTTGCGGTTTTTTGAGTTTCCCGCTTCGAAAACGATACTACGGTACAGGTGAACATTTTGTTAGAGGAGTCGTTCCATTGGCGACAATACTCATTATGGCCGACGCCAGTCCGCCAAAACACGTGTGATGGGACGAGATAACACCTGAACAGGATTAAACCATATAACAATCGGCGTGTTTACGTTCATATTTTCCTCGCCCGCCTTAATGGACCTTGAACTCTCCTCGAATTACGCGAGGAACTGCGCAAGCGTCGGCCATGATGAATATTGCCGACGATGGAGCGACTCCTCTAACAAAATGTTCACCTGTGCAGTAGTATCGTTTTTGAAGCCGGAAGCTCAAAATAACGCAAATTTCTTACGCAGATTGTGAATTTATGAGTGCATTTCAGACTTTGCCGATGCGCTCATCGTGATTTTTGAAGCATTATCTATAGGAAACAACTCTTCATTCTGCTCTAGCAAAAGTTTGCAACAGGCCCATTTCACTGAAAGTTCCTGAAATTATCAAGGGAGGTATTCATAACTTTCCTCAAAAAGGAACAATTTATTCAGGGAAATTTGGCAACTCTCGAATGTTCATATGGCGCTCTTCCTTAGCACAGCAGTATAAGAAACACAGAGTGATGAAAAGCAATGAGTGGGCACATACATACTGGATCCAGCGGTAGCATCTAGGGACTAATTCAGTTTACTTTGTCGTATTTTTTGGGAAAAATCTTAACTATATGCCTATTGTACAAATTTTAATAAATTCGGACCTATCCGCGCAGCAGATATTTTTTGAAATCAAACAATAGAAAAAGTCGGTGAAATTGTTTTTCTACTCGGGTCAGTTTTTCATTACTCCTCTGCCTGTGTAAATCTGGTCGGCAGCGCAGCGGTGACCGAGAGCATTGGCGGTTCCAGCAAATTGGCAACACTGTCTTTTCTCCATTTAAACCTATGGAAATGTATCGATTCTTGGAGGGGCAAGGTGCTCCGACAAGAATCGATTAATTAGCATAGCTTTAAATGGAGGAAATCCGGCGTTGCCGAATTGCTGGATCCGCCTCTGACCGAGAGAACTGCTCGCAGACGCGGGAAAGTTGAAAAAGCGTGTCACAAACTACGCAGGTCGCGCACTAAGGAATGGATTTCAGACTTTTCTTGATGTGCGCAATGCGATTTTCGTGCGATTCAACGTGTAAAGAATATATCGACGGTGTAAATCGGCAATCACATAACTCGGTTTGCGACGTCTCAGACTTCCTGTCGTACTTTATTTTTTAAACGGAAAACCACTCAACGGAAACTCATTAAAACTGCCGTGATTTTTCTTCTCTGTGCGTAAAAAATTCTGCAAAAACTTCAAGGAACGATGTCAATTTGTTCTCCTTTAAAGAAATAACACAGAGGCGGAGATTTTCAGACACCGCAAACGAGTTATGTGATTGCGGACTTACGCCGTCGATATATATTTATTTGGCTGTATCTCTTGCATTCAACAGACCCATTGCAAGATGCCGTCCAAACGACTGTTGCTGCCTTAGAATTGTCCATAAAGAAATGTTGAGTCCCCGAAAGTAAAGTTTTCCACCTGTCGTCAAGAGATTAGTGGAGGGTCTCTCCTCGTTTCTGGGTGGGGGTCTGTTGGGTCTTCCGCATTGGCGAGCTGTCCTCCCTATTCCTGAGGGTCGATTATTGAAATTGATAAACAAAGCTGTAGACAAAGAAGACAAGAGGGATTTGGAGGGATCCTATCGGTGGAAGCGGGTGGTTGCAATGGACAAAGGACGTGGGTGATAGACTAACTAACGGCAACCCACCAGAGACCCGATAATTAGTCCATCATTTTCTCCCTTAGTCTATAAGAGCCACCCGGTTCTACCTATAGGATCGCTTCGTACTCTCTATGTCTTCTTTGTCTATCAATTTCAATAATCAGTCCGCAGGTTCGAGTTCCATAGTTTCCGCCGACTTTAGGACCTCTTGCCTGAGGACCCCGCTGTTGATCCTGGTGACGATGACGACGTTGTGTTCTTTCGTGTCGTCGGCGACGATGAGCCCTCTTCGAGGTCCGACGGTCTCAACCCGGGCGTTCGTCGCGACGGTCGTCTGAAAAACTCCCGGGTTGATGAAGCCGCACGCCAGGAACAAATCGCACCCCCAAAAGGTTGTATCCTCGAGATAACAAAAGACCAAAGATTCGCGCTCGATTCGATTGAACATCTGGATTGCGGGGTTCGGCGTGTCTTTGAATGACACCCAGCGCCACGGCTGCAACATTGGAGGAACTTTCAGGTACGCATAGAGAGAAAACATTTACTCTATAATACGAAGGTCGCACTGAAAAAAACAATCTCGGTGTATTTACTAAGAAAAGGGTAAAATTACCAAGAATTCAGGATTCTATTTGATCCCAGTTTTTTCTTGGTAAAATTACCATAGGCAAGCTTACCAGTCTGTCTTGGTAAAATTACCAATAATTGGTAAAAAAATTGAGATGATAAAGGTACCAACGGACCGTGGTAAAAACGCCGAGAATTTTTTTTTCAGTGCGTCCAGAAAGTAAGCTCCCTTGTTCAATATCTCCTAAACTAAGGTAGGTAAAGAAAATCTGTCGAAAGCGTTGAAAAGTCACTACTCTCAGCTATCTAACGCGTCATAGATTTTTAAATTTGCTTTGATAGAACTTAAGAAAAGTGGGTTTTTCTGAACCTACCTCCTCTCCGCGCGGGTCCAAAATTTCACGGAGCTTCATCCGCAAGCGAGCCGCTGTGTCTATCGCTTATGACGAAAAAGTGGCATAGATGTGGTTGATATACATGTAAAACATAAGTAAAGACGTTTCTCAAGTGGGAGATAGCAGGATTAGCCGTGTTTACTTCAAAATCACCTACATCCTAGCAAAAGTTTACAGAATTGTAAACGTCAATTCTCAGCTAACTGAATCCTTTATAAACATTCAAATTATCCTGCCCGTTCTCAAAGAAATTTCCTCAAAGATCCATGATTTGGAAAAATTATCAGTTTTTACATCTTTTTTACAATAAATGAACCTCGAATAAAACCACAAGAGAAACGCGTGCATTGAGAAGCCTGAGCGTAGAGTGTAGGTTTCAGGACATTTTGTCAACGATTTTTTGTCCGCGAACCTTTTTTGTCTAGTAGTAGTTTACGGCCACACGTAAAATGAGCAACAGTGACTTGGTTCAAGCGCTATATTTTAGTCGGTATGTAAAATTATATTGACAATATGGAAATGAGAAATTGAGAGAGAAGGAGGTGTTGTTATGGTTGCTCATTTTCTAAATGAAATGTTATTACTTTCTCCTTTTGAATCATCTTTTTAAATTGTCATTGGTGAATATTTGGTTTTATTTCTATCCTTAAAATATTGAATGTACAATATACCTTATATATGTATAGGTACTTTTTTTATTTTTTTATTTTTTCTCTACGAAATTATTACTTCATTTTGAAAACATTTATAATTTTAAAACGTGACAAATATTTGTAAAACCTTTTCCAAGTGACATTAAGGTCAATGAGCCGCATGTTAAGCCGACAGAAACTGCAAAAAAGAATAAAAGATGAAAAAAAAAACCAAGAAGCACGCAATCTTTAGTTTTAACCCATTTGTACATCGATCTCTTAGAGTCAAATTTTGAGCGTTTCGTTGCGCGTACACCTCGCTGCAGCACAATAAAAGCACAAAATGTAAAAGAAAAAATTAAAGTGCTTTGGAAATCATTAAATTTGACACGGAACCACCAATATTTAAAAAACACACATTATATAATTATTCTCCTTAGAAAAATTGGTACATATTTTTCCCCATCAATTTAAATGAGAATAATCAATGCAGAGTGTGCTAACATTCCAAAATCATGAGTTAAAATACGCTAAATATTAAAACCTAATAGAACGGAGCGGCGTGCTGCCAGCGCAAGAGGCTCACTGGCGCCTACAAACCTAAGTGGATACTTCACGCATTGCACAATGCTTGAAGTATCCACTTAGGTTTGTAGGCGCCAATGCGCGTTTCGCGGTGGCCGCCCGCCCGCCGTGCGGCGGCGCCTAAAGCAACTATTTCACAACAGTGGTGTTGCAGAGTATTATACGAAATTGAACGTATTAAGAATGACAGGCATCCTTTAAAAGTACAGATCTTTCCTCGCAAAATAAATCAAGATACTTATCGTACACAGAAAAAATCTAAGAGCCTTTAGCTGAGGAAAATACAGAGGTTTATCCGGTTCAGGTATAACAAGGTAAGAATTTCTTGAAAGATAATTAAGTCCTGTTACACCAAAGAGTTGTAGAGAGTTTTAGTGAATTTTGTCTCATGGAATTGACGCTCCCCCATTTTTACTAAAACTCTTAACTATATATTATTCTCCGTTGGACCAAACAGACAAAACAAAACAACAAGCAAACCCTCATTCCTCCAAGACATTACATATTTTCATCCAAAAACGTCGTGAGCAATTGATCGTTTGTATTTACATGTGGGCCAATTAGCTTTGGGTCTCAACTGGCACGTGGACCAAAACTCCCGTGCCGAAAAAACGCGTGGACGTAAATTACTGGAAAAAACAGGTGCGCGGACAAAAAATCGTTGACGAAATGTCCTAAACCCGAGCGTAGCCGGAGTAAGAGCCAGAAGTGCCTGCCTGCGGGGCGATTATTGAAACTGATGGACAAAGCAATAGACAAAGAAGATTTAAAGGATATGGAGGGATCCTATTGGTGGAAGCGGGTGGTTGCAATGGACAAAGGACGTAGGTAATAGACTAACTAACGGCAACCCACGAGAGACCCGATAGTCAGTCCATCATTTACCCCCTTAGTCTACAAGAACCGCCCATTTCAACCAATAGGATCGCCCTGTACTCCTTATGTCTTCCTTGTCTATAGCTTTGTCGACAAATTTCAATAATCGGCCAGCTGAGGCGCAAAGCACTCCGGGGGGTTTGACCGGTCAGGAGAGATTAGTTCGGTTAGCAAGGGAAGTGGAACTCACAGTAACCCAAACTTCTAGGGTTTCCAGGTTTTTTTCGCTGTTCCCTGAACTAAATCCACCGCAAATTGTTAAAAAATTAACACAAAATTTGGGTTGCTCTGATTTTACATCCTAGGTATACCCTCAGATACTATTCACTATGAATGCTTTTTCAAATATCTTAATATTTTAGTACTTACAAAATTCAGCTCAATGTTGAGGCATGTTTCGACGGGTAAAAGCATGATTGGAACCTTTGCCTGAGTCAGAATAGCGTTGGCACTCTCTGGATCAGTCAAAAAGTTAAACTCTGCGCCTAGTTCCCCAAATTTCCCTGCAAATTACAGCAAATTTCAGTTTTATTCTTATACCTCGACAGAATCACTTTTATATGAACTGCATCTCTTTTTCTAGTCTACATGTTCCTCTTCTACCTTGCCTCGTCCTCTTCTCCACCTTTTTCCTCAATTTTCGCTACGCGTAAATTAGGACCACTGGTGATACCACGTTAAAAATAAACATGTCGAAATTTGGTCCAAGTAAATATATTTGAACGAAACAATTGAAAGAGCATACCGGGGTCATTTCCGCCCATTATAAGTATTTCCTGAAGATTGGATGCGATATCTGGCTGTAACCTCATTGCCTCTGCAATGTTTGTTAGAGGTCCCAAACAAAGTAATGATATTTCTCCTGTAAGAACAAAAGTAAGAAATGTTTAAGCTAAGGTGAGCAGTGTGTTTTAATTTTAAGCGGATCACAGCCCTGGTAAAAATTGGCAGTAGAATCTGCGTTCCAAAATACCATAGGTCTACAGCCGGCTGTATGATTTCCAATAGCTTCTATAGCCTGCTACACAATTTCTTATAGCCTTTTATAGCCGATGTCGATTAAGCAACAGCCAGGCGATAAAGTGTACCTATGCTAAACTTTACTAATTATGGATGCTAGGACTTGGTGAGTTTTTGGAATACTGCTCTCTTTTTGGGCCGTAGTATCTTGATTTATTTTGCGAGGAAAGCTCCGTACTTTTGATGGATGCCTGTCATTACTAATATATTAGAGCGCCTTCAGTTTTGTACGATACTGTGCAATACCTCTGGTGTGAAATAGTTGCTTCAAGCGCCGTGGCAGGCGGGTAGCCAGCGCGAAACACATTGGCGCCTACAAACCTAACAGGGATACTTCACGCGTTGCGCAACGCGTGAAGTATCCCTGTTGGGTTTGTAGGCGCCAGTGCGTCGCCGCTCCGCTTTGTGTTAGGCTCTAACATTTAATCTGGCGGAGTCAGCGTTATTCAACTCATGATTTTGAAATGTTTGAACATCCTGTATGGATTATTCTCATTTTAATTGATGAAGAAGCAATCGGATATTCAGTTTGAACATGTATGCATGGTACTTTATTACAGCACGTGTGTGAAGCCTCTCAGATGGGGTGAAATCTCGTACTTCCGTGTCATGCCATAATAAAATCCATGTTTCTAAAATGAACGAGAAATTGCGGTTTTATATTGCAGAATCTTACTATATTAAGAAAATTATGTAAGCCGATTTTAGTGCGTACGGCGCTATCTTTCGTCCTCATTATTGGTTGATCAATTAGCCTCTGAGAAAACGTCATGGGAATAGCCATGGTGACGTCATCATGACTTTTCTGATTACTCCCTTTCTTATCGTGGTTTTTGGATGACGTCATCCTGGCCGATGTCTTTGGGATGAAATTTTGCACCTCCCTGTTATGCTGTAAGAAGATCCACTATTCTAAAATGAGCTAGAAATAGTGGTATTATTCATATTGCAGAATATAGTCGAAGTGGTATCACTTAACCACTTTGAAAATCATCTTCATCTCGCAGAATTTTTCGACCCCAATTATTAAATTTCGAGTCGAGGATTTGAACCTGGATGCTCCTTGGTGAGGCGGGCCAGCGCTTCAATGGCGCTCATCCCTTTGACTCGGCTCAAATCCGGTTTCCAACCCCAGTCAAGATCTCCGAATCCGTCCTTTCCATAAAGGTACAAATAGTCCGTCTCTCGATCCTTATTTTTTATGCCTCGGTACATCGGAATCTGCAGAAATCATCAACAAAACAGAAATTAGAATGTCATGTTACCACACTGGTAAAAAAAAAAAAAAAACCTCTTGGTTCAGGAGTGCAGTTTCTTGTCACCGGATTTAAGAGTCTGGACTCTTGTTTCAATGCAAAATCCGCTTGAATCAATGCAAAATCCGCTTGAAACAAGAGTTCAAGACTCTTAAATCCGGCGGCAAGGAACTGCACTCTTAAGTCAATGCACCGCGGCATTGGTCCAAGAGGTTTTTTTTACCAGTGCAGTGCTGCCGCTCTAAGGAAAAACGGCGTAAGAAAACTCGAGAGTTGCCGAATTTCCTCCAATTGAATGTTATTTTTTAAGGAAAGTTATGAATATTTTCTTTTGAAATTTGCATATAATTTTAATCTGATCACGATTAAAATCCCCTAAGAAATTGGATGAAAAGTATTTACAGATTTCCCATAAAATTCGTATTTTACCGAGGGCAATTTGGCAACGCCTGAAGGCGCATACGGCGTTTTTCCTCAGAACGGCAGAGTGGCGGTCCTTGAGAGTTGGCGATACTGTTCTTCCTCCATTTAAATGTATGTTAAACAATCGATTCATGATGAGGCAGCTCGCCTCACCTAAAATCGATATATTTAATGAATTTAAATGACGGAAAAACAGTGGTTGCTAACTTGCAAAGAGCTAAGTGCAATGATGAAGTTTAGAGATGCGATAATGGATATGGTATTGCACATCCGAACGGAAAATTTTTATTGAACGAATTTTCCTTTCGTCGTATAAAATTTTCAATGATAATCTAAAATTCTTCGACTTTTTTTTCTGTGAAATGACTTCAACTTAATTGTAAACACACTGCTTTCTTATTAAATTTCTGTTTTACCTAAATCAATAAATTCTTTCATACTGAATTTTGGCACACTTTTTAAGACTGTAAACCTATAGATTGAATTAAAAACAGTCTAAAATTCGCGTCGTAACCGTAAAGTATAGTTTGAGTAGCCAGCCCATATAGGGGCCGCAGCCAACATAATAGGACGGCAACTTTGTGATACATTTAAACAATAATCAAGCATTATTTGGAAAATTGACAATCTCGCGATCAAAATCAATAACAATTTACTTCATAGGTACAATCGGCAACGCTAGACTCAAGTTAAGGTCTATGAGAAACAAGCAAAGCTACCTCAATCAGTGTCAAATGCGACGAACACTGAACAAATTTCATTTTAACCCCTGCATGCAACTATTCGGGCTCCGCGGATGTCCGTGTTGCATACGCTCCGAAGTGAAGGCGTTTTTACTGCCCAGACACTCACCGTCACCCGCGGCGCCAACGACGTGTTTTACCGCGAGGATCCAAATCGGCAGAGCAAATTAGACATGCGCGATACTGATTACGAAAATTGCGTGTTGAGGAGGGCATTAAAGACTATTCTTATGTGCTCAAATATGAAATTTGTTTTATTTTACATGCATTGTCATGTCAGCAGTCTGCGAGCTGATTATTGAAACTGATAGACAAAGCAATAGACAAAACAGACGCAGGGAGTATTTGAGGACTTATCTGTAACAATAGCGGATGTGAAAAATTACCTTTTCGAAACACATTCAAAAAACTGTTTTGGCATCGAGAAAATGAGAAAATACTTGAGATGTGATCTTCGAGATCTGTACATTATGCCAGAGCCAGACATATTCAATTTTTGTGAACAATTTACAAAAAACAAAAATATTTTTGTGAAATTGTGTTAACAAAACAGTTTTTTAAGCGTGTTTCTAAAAGGTAATTTTTCACATCCGCCATTGTTACATATAAGGCCTCAAATAGCAATCTTATTGGTTGAAGTTGGTGGTTCCTACAGACTAAGGGAGAAAATGATGGACTAACTGTAGGGTCTTTCGTGGGTTACCTTCAGTTAGTCTACCCAGTTAGTTATTTGTCTTTTAAGTATAACTAAAGATTAGATTTGATATCCTAACTTTAGTTTGACAAACTAATATTATCATATAATTCAACTAAATCTATCGTTTGTTAACTTACTAAAATTAATTGATTTTTTTGACTTCAAAGGTTAACGTTGTCCTCCTTTAACCTTCGGTAACCTCCTTTGTCCATTGCAACGACCCGCTTCCACCAATAGGATCCCTCCATGTCGCTCTTGTCCTCTTTGTCTAAAGCTTTGTCTATCAATTTCAATAATCGCCCCCCTGGTTGGCTGCGTGTCTTGAGCGCGATAGAATTATGAAATTCTGTCGACCACTTTCAACGAGTATACCCCCTCTCTTGTAGAAAGTTGATTCTCTTTTTCTAAACACTCCTCGAGGGCAATCCTCTTGAGAGGTTTTAAAAATACGGAAGTAAATTCATTTGTACTTGACTTTCATCGTTGAGTGCATGTACATATTTATGTTGAACGGTTGAAATATGTACAAATGTATCAAATCAAGAGGAGCCATGAGTGCATATAGGAATCGTGTTCTTTATTTGGCCGTGCTTAGGAAGAACGCCGTATGAACATTTGAAAGTTGACAAATTTCCGCGAATAAAGCATGTATTTTTGAAGAAATTCATTCATGTGTTTCCTTGAAATTTTTTGATATTTTAAATTAAATTGCGAAGGAAATCTCCTGGAAAATCGGAGGAGGTCTATTCAGAAATTTCCCTAAAAATTGTGATTTGTCGAAGAAAATGTGGCTGCGCCTGATGGCTCATACGGCGCTCTTCCTTAGCACGGCAGTATTTTACGGCTTCTTTCAATTCAGTATATTTGCACAAAGTTCCTTTCAATATATATACGCACAAGTGATCGGTCGTTTTATCTCAATCAAATGAATGACGTCATGGTTAAGATAAGCTTTTCCTCAATCCAAGTTCAATTTATTTTTGTTGACGGAAATTGTTTAAATTGGACGTACCTCTGCCAAACAGAACTATGTGCACTATAACGTGAGCCCTTTTATGTTTATATTCTTATGGGTCTCAGGGCTCATGTCTTAATGCACATAGTTCGGTTTGACAGAAATACGTTCAATTAAACAAAATTAACTCGTAAAGTTAGTCATTTGGAGACTGAATACTTAGAGGTAGCTCTATGCTCAAGCCGTGGCGCAAACGCTGCTGTGCCAAGATTGAGCCGAGATTTGAGAGCCGATAATGTAAAGGAAAACGGTTTTTTCCTTTACATTCGCAGATGAATTCACTCGATTAAACGGCTCTCAATCGGTAATCGCATTTTGATGGTGAAATTACCAAACCACGTATCTCAGTTTGCGACGTTGCAAACTTCCTGTCATACTTTAATTTTTAAATGAAGGCCCTACTCAACATCAATTCTCGAAAACGTCCGTGATTTTTCCTCTCTAAGCAAACGAAACTCTGTGTACACTTCAAGGAATAATATTGACTTAGATCGCATTCAGCAGAAAGGAACCAGCGCGGTTACAACGTTCTGAAAATGTTGCCTTTTCATAAGTATCCAAAAAAATCTCCCAGAATTTCAAATAGTTTTGGCTTCCCACCAAAATATTGTTAATTTAAAAGGATAATAATTGTGTAAATAATACTATACATATCTGAAGTAGAAAAGGAAAAGGGGTATTCTTAAAAGAAAAGGAAAAGTTGCACGATTTTGAAAGCACGATAATCGCGCTGATTTATTTTTGCTTTCTGCGATTCATTTGTTCTCCTTCAAAAACATAAAATGGGGGCGAAGATTTTTAGACACCGCAAACGAGATACGTGGTCCCGTAGTTTCGCCGTCGATTTAGCAAAACAGACTAATCCTCAGGAGGAATGATAAAAAAAATGGACCAAAGTACTTACATCAGGAGCTTGAGCTACTTGAAGCAATCTACAAGTGTTCACGCACACGTTGTTAATATCTGTCATGCCGTCAACTGCGGTGATGGCCAAGATACGGACGAGGCCCAAATGTTGGGCCCTTAGCAGAGTCAGAAGGGCCCACTCATCGTCCAAACCACCGTCCACGTCTACCACCATCAACCTAGGATTTGCATCAACCATCACAGCACCACCGAATAACCCCGCACATAATAGACGAAGCACCAAGTGCTTGAGCATGGTGATCGACAATTTTTAAAAGAGTGAAGAATTTTCAGGTGTTCAACGCTACCGTGCTAAGGAAGAACGCCGTATGAACATTCGAGAGTTGCCAAATTTTGTCTGATAAAATGTTTATTCCTGAGGAAAATTGTCGACAATTTCCTTGAAATTTTCCGACTTTTTAGATCAAATGTACGAGCAAAATTACCTGAAAAATTGGAGGAAAAATATTCACAAATTTTCCTGAAAATTGGTGATTTGTCGAAGTAAATTTGGCAACGCCTGGAGACTCTTACGGCGTTTTTCCTTCGCACGGCGGAACAGTTCTTTTAAACATCGTAAAAATCACCGTTTACTCGAAGTTATATTCTGTAGTTAAAAGAGTGTTTTTCGGCAAAAACTCAAATTTCGATTTGTGAACCTAAATTAAAAAAATCGATGTACTGAACAATCTGTACCCGTGAATGTACACTGTATAATGTCCCTTTCCTTGTGGACGGCCAGAAGTAAGACTGAAAGTGGACTTGTACCTACTTAAGTGAGGAGTTTCGACCACTTGAAGAGTCTACAAGTGCTTCGACACAATCTACACTTGTGAGAGGAGTTATAGGTATTTGGTGTGCTAAAATACGCGTGTTTAATTATCAGGAGGAAATGGCGCTACAGGATGTCATCGAGTGATACAATTTTTCGTTTTCACATTTATTTTTCTCTCACGTTCTACATCAGAAAAATGTTTAAAAAAATATTGTGAACTCAGGTCATTAAGCACTTTTACGAAAGCAACCAAGTTATCTCGTTAATTTCGATCAAGAGATTGGTTATTTCAGGAGGAGCTGGAATTACAGCGTTATGGGTAAACATGTGAAATGTTGGAAGATAGTTCTTAAAATTATAGTTTCATGGAACCAGTTTTGCATTTTTAAGCACGTAAAGCCCCAAGTAATTGCTAATTTTCCGATGTTTCTTAAATTTATGAAAACGTCACGTGAAATGTCATTCGCAATTGCTTTCATAAATACGTGAGACGATTTAGCAACAAAGCATGTGCCCTTGCAACAAAAAACCCTCAGCACCTCTGCAATTTATCAATTAGATGGAATTTTGCGTCAAAAAATGATCTATTACGCCACGATCTGCTACTGATTCCCAACGTACGCGGTTAAACTGTTGCATGCGACTTTTACAGCTCCTTTGCACTCATATTGCCGAATCGGAATATTGAGGGCGAACTGGACGGAATGAGCGCAAATCATAATAAGATGAGGAGCATCAAAGCACTGAAGCTATGCTTAAAACGAATGAAAGTAGTTGAATTTCTGCAAGCGTCTATTATAGCTCGTAAGTAGGTCAAATGGCCTAACTAGGATATTGAAGGAAAACTGGGCGGAATGAGTGAGGAACAGAATAATGCAAAACATTGAATGGTTTATTTTCATTTTGTTACCAGAAAACGATGGTACAGATTCCTCTGAAAAGTTCGGAGTTGTGCTGTATCTAACATTTTTCACATTCTTAGGAGACTAGGAGTATCAAAGCACTGAAGCTATAATTGAAACGAATGAGAGTAGTTGAACTGCTGCAAGCGTCTATTACAGCTCTCAAGTAAGTCAAATTGCCTAACTAGGATATTGAAAGAAAACTGGGAGGAATGAGTGAGGAACAGAATACTGCAAAACATTAGACAGTTTATTTTAATTTTTTCACCAGAAAACGATGGTACAGATTCTTCTGAAAAGTTCGGAGTTGTTGCTGTATCTGACATTTTTCAAATTCTTGGGAGAGGAGTATCCAAGGACTAAAGCTATGATTAAAACTAATGAAAGTAGTTGAATTGAATTGCTGCAAGCGTCTATTATAGCTATCAAGTAAGTCAAATTGCCTAACTGGGATATTGAAGGAAAACTGGGAGGAATAAGCGAGGAACAAAATATTGCAAAACATTAGACAGTTTATTTTAATTTTTTCACCAGAAAACGATGGTACAGATTCTTCTGCAAAGTTCGGAGTTGTTGCTGTATCTAAAGTGTTTCACATTCTTGCTGTATCTTGCTCTATCTAACAAATTGATTGCATTTTACAAAAAGGAGCCAGGAGCATTGCAATGTTGCTAAAATTGTGCAACTTCTTTCGTCTTGGAAGAAAAACCTGACTATCCATGCTCGCTGAAAACTGTAAATTTGAAACAAAAAGTATCATGTATATTTCATATTTTTTCATGGTTTCAGTAATTTCACTGCAAGGATGAAGTTGCACAAGCTTAGCACCATTGCAATGCTCCTGGTTAGTTTTTGCAAAATACAATACAAATATTGACAATCTTAAAAGCCAGCCGGTCTATTGAGAACTTTGAGGATGGAGCCTTGTTTCGGGCTCACTTTCCCGGTCCAGGTGAACTGGAGCGCATCGTTCTCGGTCTCCGGTCGGAAGATCCTCACCGTCACTTTGATGCGACGCCCCGGGATCGGCGGAAAATCCGTCTGCGCAAAGTAGTGGTTCGTCACGTAGTATTCACCCTGAAAAAGTTCGAATCAATTTAAAATATCGAATTCCTGCACCGGTCACATAATTTTAATCCACTTCACCATTTTTCATGTGTTACAGTCTATGCCATAGAAGGATCCAAGGGCGGGAGGGGGCATGGGAGGCGTGCCCCCCCCCCCCCCATCACTCGCCGCACAGTGGATCGAGTTATAGGGAAGGTCGGAAAAAATTTGGAAACTTTAAACGCTTATAACTCCGTTTATTCACAAATTTGAGGTTCTAAAAGTGGTTTAATTGGTTTTCTCGAAAAAATTTCTTCCAAAAGCACCCCTTAAAATTTAATATGTGACGAAGTAAACATCAAAATTTACAGTTATAGTCAACAATTTAAAGTCCGACCTCCCTAATTGACTCGATCCACTGTGCGTCGGGTAAAAAGGAGGAAGAAATGGAGGAGAAAGAGACGGAGAAGGAAGAAGAGAGGACGCTTATATTTGGTAATTACTCGTATTCGTATTCATTATGAAATTAACTCAAACTGCACATTAGTTCCTTTAAAAATTTCAAAATATATACTCGGGAAAGTCCCCCGCGTTTGAGGTGTCCCATTCCGTCTAAGCACAGAAAAAGGTACCTTCATCTGCAACAGAAAAATTTCGGTCGAACGATTTTTCCTCGCTTGGGTGAAAAATTGTGACTTTGAATTTTCGAAAGGAAGTGCTTTTTGTGGCCTAAATAATGACTTGGAAGCAGATTAATTCATTTCTTAACGAAGGATGGCGTAAAATTTCATTATAACCTGGCAATTTTTTGCCCTGAACATGGCAGTTTATGATTTCATTTTATACAATTAACTTTTCATTGAAACCGTGTTTTTTACTGTTTTCAAACGGTTAAAAAACGCACAGATATATAATCAGGGCAGACGTGTTCCAGTACTTTTTGTCTAAAAATATTCCTAGAACGGCCCTCTATGCACTCTTATCAACGATTAAGTTTGGATTTTTTGTGGACGAAATTATTTCTTCATGAACGACCGGTCCATATGCGATCGTCCATATAAGAAAGCCCGAACTTAAAATCCTCTCTCTTTCGAACTCTCTTTTCGCCTCCTTTAGCTTGGATTCCCTTTGTTGTGAGAGGTCCAATATCGACGGTGAAACTACCAAACCACGTATCTCGTTTGCGGTGTTTAAAAATCTACGCTCACATTTTATTTTTTTGAAGTCGACCAAATCAATATCATTCCTTGAAATTTTCACAGAATTTTCTCCGCACAAAGAAGAAAAATCACAGAAATTTTCAAGACTAGACGTTAAGTAGTTTTTCATTAAAAAAATAAAGTATGACAGGAATTCTGCGACGTCACAAACCGAGATACGTGGTTTGGTAGTTTCACCGTCGATATGTGAGTCGTGAATATGTATGCTGTTCTCGAGAAAGAGCGTTTATCAGTGATCAGAAGCCAATTTTTCAGGTCAGAAACTTGTATGCCGTTAATTTTTTTAATCAGGTTCACTTTTTGACGGAAAACTCTGTCTTGTATCCAAAAAATAATCTCAATTCGGTTAATATTTGTACCAAAAGAGGGCCGAGGGTAACATTTTCCTCCAAAAATTTTGAGCCCAAAACATGCCAAAGGAATTGCGCTTTGTTAACTTACAGGGCTTTTGGGGCATTCCCCTGTGAGATTTCCAAACCTTCCGAACGACTTCATAGTAAGGGATTTTTTACACAGATCACAAGCCGGACCTTGCGTTTGTAGAAGTTTTGTGTAATCTTTCTGATTTTCCGTCATCTTCATGAATACTGTAATAGACACCTGGAACAGAAATCATTCAGTGGGTCAGTCTTAAAAATTATTGAAAAGTATCATTAATTTGTAATAAACACCGATGGTCAAAATCTAAACTACACACATCACAATTCCCTCGTCCGCTGTATTTTTTTATGGCTTGAAATTTTCCTTGATTATATTCTTCACGATTCGTACTGCAACAATTATTGTGTACCTACTCGTAACACTCGTATTTTGATTCATCTGCTATCTTATCTTGAGGGGAAATTTTACAATTTAAGAGTTTTAGAAGTTAAGTTTTTCAAATCACGCAATAGTGTATTCCCTTCAGAAAAGATCAAAATTTAAAGGCTCCTAAATTTGTATTCGATAAAAAGACAACGCTTTGGAGAACTTACGAAGGTTTGAGAGACTTTAATTCGTAAATTAATTTAGTGTATCTACAAATTTTAGAGAGGAATACTAATTATATTTGTTTTGGGAAATACATATTTTACTATTAGAAATTTGGCATCACGGTTTTTTCCTCATCACTCAGAGCAGAACCCGTAGACATCGGCAAAATATTACCTTATCTACCTCGAACGTCGAAACGCGCCCGAGCATCAGTGCGCTGTTCAATGAAAGTTAAAGCGCCTTCAATTTTTACTACGCAACACTCACATCCATTAAGCAGTAATAGTCGTATCACTGCAGGCGTTATCGTGTCTGTTGCGACGGTCACTTGACGTGACGACGGGTACGTGAGTGCGATATCCTAATATTTGTACATATGTTCATCTCTCACTAACTCGAATGCAAATTTACGCAGTTGGGAGTGTATTTTTGCGACAGTGTGAGCGCTCTAAGCGAGATTCCACATTATGACACTGCTTACCTGACTCTTTTTTTTTTTTTTTTTTTTTTTTTTTTTTTTTTTTTTTTTTTTTTTTGCAAATTTGGCGTATAAGAATCCGTCCATCAACATCTGTTCTACAAGTTTTAACAATTTTTTTTCTTTTGAACAAATGTATTAAAAACTTTTTACAAACATTTCTACTTAGGCGAAATTGTTTCTGTTTTACAAGGTTCAATTTCCTCAGAATATATATACTCACCTTCATAGAATTGTCGATGACTTTCCGTTGAGAAAAATGAAAACTGAGCAGAGGTATTTTGCCGGAGTTTTTATCGATTTTGATGAATTCCACTGTACCGAAGGATGGTTGTGAGTCTATATTCACTGTGTCGTGAAGAAGCGGCGAATCTTGTGTCTGAAAAAAAAGAGTTTAGGTTAGGTACTTTCAGAAATATACTTACCTGAGTCTCCTACATGGATCAGAATAACAAGAGTTTTGTTCATGTGCATCAAATTTTATGAATTAACGAAAAATTTCGAGATCTTCATCTATTAAAATTTTTTTTAATTCAGTATTAACAAAGAGAATCACCTTCCCTATCAGCAGTTTTAGTAACATTTTTGTGCCAAAGGGAAAAAAACAAAGAAACACAGCTTGTTGGAATGTATGACCTAGGGGATTTTTTTAAGGACTTAAAATACATGCCTAAGTCATGAGGAAAAAATAATTGAAACATTAAGTCAGCATCATTATTAAGTTGAATTTTAAGAGTGTTTTAATTGATGAAAAATGTAAAATGCATATAACAAAAACATCTTAAAAATGTATGCACTTTTTTCAAAATTCACACAAACGGAGTAATTAAGAGAATCTTCCAAGTTCTAAGTGGTAATATCTTTTTTTTTTTTTTTTTATTAGATAAGTTGCTTATACAATGATGTCGCCACTACCACTAATTTACAAAGGGTATCTATCGACTAGTTTTAATAATATAATTGATAAAGGTATAAATAAAAAGAAAGAACTGATGATAAGAGAACACTCTTATCATTTGGTATGAGGCATGTAATGCCCCATCCTTTGACATAATAAAAAAGATAAAGAATTACTCCTCGTGTGAAGACATAAGGGTGAGGGTGGAGGGCCGGGGGGCACCCCGCCAAGGAGGCAATCAACAAAATGGAAGAGAATTAGCCTTTGGCTTGATAAAGCTCTATTGGCACTTGGAACAACTCCACTTACGATTGTTGATAACCCCAGCAGGGAAGCCCCCTGGCCCCCCACCCCACCCCGCCCTCGCACTCGGAGTTATTTTCAAAAAATTCTTATGCATCAAATTGATGATAATTTAATTTTCCAAGAGGAAAGTTATTATTTAATGCTGACTTTGTCAGTGTAAAGATTTGTTTTTGTTTTTTCTGAGCTGAAGGTTTTTCAAAACCATAAGCGTAAATACCTCTCAGGAGTTCTTCCTTCAAGTTCATGTCATCGAAACTTTCGACTTTACATCCAAGGAAGTTTGCGGGGTGTTGTCCCCCGCAGAGGGCACACGTGAAAATCTCCACACCAGATACAACGGGGGGGGGGGGGGGCGAAAGCAGCCTCCCTTTGCATGCCCGAAGGACCAACAATTTTTGCATTGAATGACCCTTCTTTGAGGTTTGGGTGGTTCAAAGGAGATCATAAATTTATTAATCTCTTTAATGGAGTTAACACTTTCCTTTAATTCAGCGTAATTTTCCCATGGTTCGAAATCAACGAAAAACAGGGCGAGTCTACTCTTATCTTTAGTTCTACGAACTTGGATAACGTTTCTAATTATGATTTTTTCTTGTTTTTCAAGTCCAGACGTGGTAATATCTGTGGGAAAAGTTTCCTAGTTTTTTTCAGTGATTTCTTTTATGCATTCCAGCTAGTACGCAAAAAAACCACAATCAATAAAGTTGTCACTTGTCTTTTGCACCGACTAAAATTGGTCGAGTGCACTATTAGTAATACCAAACAGAGGCGGATCCAGCGATTTGGTAACACCGGACTTCCTCCATTTAAACCTGTGTTAAATTATCGATTCTTGGAGAGGCACCTGGCCTCTCCAAGAATCGATACATTTCCATAGGTATAAATGGAGAAAAACAATGTTGCCAATTTGCTGTAACCGCCAATGATACCAAAATAAGTAATAAGCGCTGGTGCGATGAATGACGTTGTACACCGTGTTTCTCAACGGCCGATGTTGGAATTTGGACAAGCACTTTGTAAAAAAGCTTTTCAATCAAGAAAGCTAAATTTCCTCTCTTTTTTAAACACCCAGTCTTCACAAAAAACTCCGTACGAATTTCGGACAATGACGCCCATGCTTTTCTCTTGGAACAAATTGAAAAATAAAACAGGAGCGGACATTGGCGGATCAAGCGAATTGGCAACATTGTTTTTCTCCATTTAAACCTATGAACATGTATCGATTCTTGAAGGGGTCGGATGCTCCGACAAGAATCGATTATTTAACTTAGGTTTAAATGAAGGAAATCCTTTCTTGCCAAATTGCTGAATCCGCCCTTGAGAGCGGAAATTTTTAACCGCCGATTTGCAACATGTATACATGTTTTTCGACTCCCATCATTGACGAAGGAACGAAAGGACCATATTTTGCAATTTGGGAAGTACAAATTCTAGCCCAGTTTACGAACAACGTATCTACCATGAGATTCGCCCTATGTACCTTAGTGCGTGTATACGGATGAGCCAGACATTGTAGTTCCTTACGGTAAAATAGAGTCTACCAATCAGAATTAGCTAAACCACATCAGATGGTGTTGCCTAATGTCCTCCAATATCTTATTTATTTACAAGGGAACTAAAAAAACATTCTACCTTCACATTTTGCAAAGGAATTTTTGTACTGTAGAGGAAATTAACGTTGGTTGTCAACTTGCTAAGGTGTTTTGTCAATAATTTTCTGCGTATACACGAATAAAATTTGAGAGAAAATTGGACTATATTTCGCAGTTAGGAACTGCAATTTCTTTCGCGTGCGTAAAAACACTTATGTGCATAAGGTAACTAATGGCGCGTACGCTATATCTAAACTGAGCCAGAAATTGTAGATCCTAATCGCAAGATTTAGTCCAATTAGACAGCCTGAAATGAAGTTGGGCTGATTCTAGTGAAATCAACCCAAATGATTCCTAAAAATTGATTTGATCAAAAATTTTACCTGGCAAATCAAGCGATCAAAAAAAGCTAAACCAGTCAATACTGTGAGGAACAACGCCCGGTAAAGTTTCATTTCCCAAATCATCCTCACCAGGGACTGATGGGCCAAAATCAGTCCACTAAAAATTGAATTTCACCTTTGCTCTCCTTCGAGCACTGCAAACCTTCAAAAGCACACCAAAAATCACTGCTCGCTCTCGAACGGAGTAAACCAATTCCATACCAAACGTGAGTCGTGCAATTGATGAAAATCCTCCGATCGCGTGAAAAATACGATTACTAGCTCGAAAAATAGTAAGTTTATCCGTGTAATTGTGAATCTGTAACCTCTGATACATCCTGTGCTCGAGTCCAACGTTGGCAAATTGCATGTGGTTGAAAAATTTAGTCTTTTTTTAGCCAAATCACTGTTGAGAGCGATTTTTTAACGCATTTTGCTTTTGAAACCAATGCAGTGTTGCCGCTCCCAGTCAAAGTTAGTCTTATTTACCTATACAGAGTTCTTTTCCCACTATGAGAATAAACTCAGAGGTCGAATCGATGGCATCTTGAGCACTATGACTTAAGCATGACTTTAGCAAAAAGGAACCAGCGCAATTACAGTGTTTCCGAAATCGCGTAACTTTTGCTTTTCTTTTAAAAATACTTAATATATGGATCATTAGAGTGAGTCATAGATCATTAGCAGTTAGCAAAACTCAAAGTTTGTTTATAGTAGTATGTTAAGGATCTCCTGGAACCTCTCCCAGTCACAATGTAAACCATATCGGTGGCTAAACTGCAGTGGCGTGGCGTGAATTGCGATGTATCGATTGTTCTGCCATTTAAACCTATGGTAAAGAATCGATTATTAAGGTGTCCCCAGTTTATCGATCCTTTTCCATAGGTTTAAATGGCATAACAATCAATATATCGCAAAGCACGCCACGCCACTGGGCTAAAGTGCGGAACCGCGTATATCCATAATTGTGACGATGCAGACTTCCTTTCACGGGTAGGTAGGTACTTCATTTCTTCTTTTAAAACTAGCTAACCCTTATTTGTTGTATGAATTAATCGTTGATTTTGGAGAGAATCTACACTGTACGGTATTTTTTCGACATAAGAGTCAGTTGGAGTCGAATTTTTTTGTTTTTTTTTAAAGTTAGGAGATCAGTCTTGTTAGGGCTGGATTTTCCTACTTGCCGCCCTTGGGCCGCCTGTTTTTTGCCGCCCCCTTTTTATTCGTTTTGATTCATCGATACAAACCATCAGGGGTGCTTAAGACGCGTCTACTCGTGTTGGGCACATTTTTTTGTGAAAGCCCTTTCAACACTAGCAAAAGTTAAGCTCCGTAAACATAGCTCTGTGTAGACAAGGCCACTCATCTATAAGAAATGAACGAAAAAATTATGGAAGAATAAACATGAATGTGGTTTAATGAGATTAATTTCCGCCACCGTGATGCCGACCGCACGGTGTTTGGCGCATTGCGTGAAGTATCCATACAGTCTTGTAGGCGCTGTGCGTTTCGTGCCAACCGCTGCTGACCGCACTACGTTTGACGCAATGCGTGAAGTATTCACGGAGTCTTGAAGGCGCTAATGTGCGTTCCATGTTGACCGGCGCGCCGAGGGCTTCTTCTATATTCATCTCAAGTCCTATGGTCATCATTGTTCTCTGCGCCGCCACGCCACTCCAGGCCAAATTGCGTGTTTGGTTTTTCTCTCAACTAGACTAATAAAAGGCGCTGTCTCTTTTATCACCGAAAGACGAACGCATTGGAAATTATTATATACTTTAACTCTCAGGACATTAGAGATTTTGTCGCCTTTTCTCGTTTGTAATTTTATTCCTGAATTCGATTTTTTTTTTTTTTTATATATATGCGTACGTTTGAAAAAATTGCAAAATTTGCCGCCCCCTAAATCCGGCCCTGCGTCTTATAATGCTCTCCCCCCCCCAAAAAAAAAAAAAATTCTTGCCTCGATTTAATATAGTATTCCAGCATAGAAGTAAAGCCGAAAATCACTTGTTGTTTTCGTGCAGCGATGCGCAGTAAAGAATTAACGTAATTTTTTTAAAACTTCCTTGATTTTTCCTCACTGATCGGAGAATATTCTGTACAATTTTCAAGCCATAAAGTTGGCTTGTCTCCATTCGAAAAATTTAAGATGGGCGGAAATTTTGAAACAGCGCAATTGAGATACGTCGTTTCGCGCACTTTGGTCATCGATATAGTGTCTCCTAAGGAGAGGAGCTACTTAAGGAATGACTATGAATATGACCTCCTCTGGTGTGATAGAGAAGAGAGCAGTAAGTGCATGCTGGCGATACATCGATTGTTATGCCATTTAAACCTATGGTAAAAAATCGATTATAAAGGCGTTCGCTGCGAACACCCTGTTTATCGATCCTTTTCCATATGTTTAAATGGCATAACAATCGATTTATCGCAGAGCACGCCACGCCACTGATAAAAGCATGTGCTAACCATGGCTCATACAGAAATTCACTTAGTGATCTCTTCGCTATCGCGGCAGTCTTCTGCTGACATTGACCGATACGCGGTTATTATTACAAAGTCACACAATTTTCCTGGGGGGCCGTCGGTC